ACCGAGGTCACCAGTTGCCCCCCGCGAGCGGCTCTCCAGCACGGCCACGGCCCCAGAAGCACAAGGACTTAATGCAGAACCTGGCAGCTTGGAGCAGAAAAGTGAACGGACTATGCATTAATCCAGGCCATCAGGTCTGTCCGGAGGGGAAAGGGTGTTGCCCCAGTCGCCTTCTCCTCTCTGGAAAGAAAGATGGCGGCCGCATGGGAGCCTTGTGGACAGCAGGTATGAGCCGGGGGTGTGGGGGCAACTAAAACCTCATGGGAAGGGGGGCGTTCCGGTCCGTCCTTCACGCCCTACCGAGGTCACCAGTTGCCCCTCGCGAGCGGCTCTCCAGCACGGCCACAGCCCCAGAAGCACAAGGACTTAATGCAGAACCCGGCAGCTTGGAGCAGAAAAGTGAAAGGACTATGCATTAATCCAGGCCATCAGGTCTGTCCGGAGGGGAAAGGGTGTTGCCCCAGTCGCCTTCTCCTCTCTGGAAAGAAAGATGGCGGCCACATGGGAGCCTTGTGGACAGCAGGTATGAGCCGGGGGACTGGGGGCGACTAAAACCTCATGGGAAGGGGGGCTTTTCGGTCCGCCCTTCACGCCCTACCGAGGCCACCAGTTGCCCCCCACTAGCGGCTCTCCAGCACGGCCACGACTCCAGTGCACAGAAACCAATTTCTTAACTATCTGACTTTCAGTAGAAATACTTCCAGGGTCAATAAGTAAAATAGCAGAAATCCAAAACCGACATATAATTCTTGAACCCAGCTGTAGAAAGCAAATCACTTCACAATGCTTTGTCAGCATGTCTGATTTGGGGGTGGGGGGGTAAACTCTAAATAATAGTGGTGAATCTTTCATTGAAACAATGAATCTAATCAAAGCAGATAGAGTGTTAACTAGAATTCATCTGCCCCACAGGGACTGGGAGGGGTGGGGGGTGGGGTTTTATTGAGGTTCTTCATGGTAAAAAATAAGTTTTGGTAAAGGGAAATGTGCTTGATATTTGCATGACTGAGACCTAAACCTGAAAGCTTTGTAACCTTTCCCATGGTGATTCAATAAATAAATAAATTTAAAAAATAAATAAATAAAAAAATAAAAAAAAGTTTTTGGTGGCATAACCAGTTCTTATAGTAACACATACAACAAGTCACTTAGAATGTTTACATCCTCACTCATTCACTGACACAGAAGCTCTATTCACCTTTACACTCTGATTAAACTTTGTTTTCTGAGTTCACTTTTCTTTTATTAATCTTCCCCCATCTATTTATGCATTCCTCATTGATTTTTAACTTTTCTCTCAAACGCCCTTTTTTCATGTATTTTTCGTAGCGCCTATGATTTAATAACCAAAGTATTAGAACTATTGGGGGAGGCAGCCACAGTGAAGTGGGGAGGGCTCTTGCTGTGCATGCAGCTGATGCAGGTTCGAACCCCGACAGCCCATAGGGTCCCTGAGCCTCCAGGACTGATTTTTGAGTGCAGAGCCAGGAGTAAGCCCTGAGTAATGCTGAGTGTGGCCCCAAAATAAACAAAATAAAATTAGAACTATCTTATCTAGTTCAGATTAGTTAAATTATTCTAGGGTTGTTTACGAATTTGTTTTAAAAATTTTAGAGTTTTTAATTTTGGTAAGAATTTTCTATCACAATACCAGATGTTCTGATTCATGAATATTTTATGTACTCAAATGTCTTTTTCTGTCTTCCAAAAATGGGACTGGAGAGCTAGCACAGCGTGTAGGGCATTTTCCTTGCACGCAGTTGACCTGGGATCAATTCCCAGCATCCCATAAGTTCCCTGAGCACCGCCAGGAGTAGTTCCTGAGTGCAGAGCCAGGCGTAACACCTGTGAATTGATGGATGTGACCCAAAAAGCAAAATCATACCAAAAATATTTTTCTACCATTTAAACGTTTTGACCAAGAATTTCTTGAACCAATTAGAATTATTTTATATGAGTAAGATTGCTGAAAATTCTTTAATTTTGCAATTCTTTTATGACTTGTGTTATCAGAATGATAGTTTTCTTTGGAGAGTTCAATTATTAACCAATGTAGATCCTTCATTAACAGTGAATCAAGACATCTAATTATTTATATATATTTTTCAACGTTTATCTTCTTACTTGCTTTATCATACTATTGAAGATAAAATGGAATAAAGTGAGCTGTAGTATATATTTAGTATAGTTCATATGTTCATACTTATGTTCATACTCAGGGATCACTCCATCTGAAAATATGTGGTAGCCAAGATTGAACCCAAGACAGCTGTGTACAAGGCAAATATCCTCCTCACGGTGCTATTGCTCTAGGCCTTTTCCTATGCTATTTTGAAAACATTGTTTATTACTTACATGCATATTTTGTACTTCATTTAATAATTGACTGAAACAGATTCTTCTTTAAATAACCCTGTGCTCTTTCACTCATGACTGTGCCTACATTGGAAATGTTGTGCAACATTTGCTTCTATCTAGTTGAAAAATTACATCAACCCAAATGAAAAAAAATGAGTTTAATTCCTTTTCCTAATGACAATTTTTTTCTTTCTTTTCCACATTTGGTGATGCTCAAAGTTTCTTCTGGCCCTGCACTCAGGATTTACTCCTTCCAGTGCCCAGGAAACCATATGGGATGCCAGAGATTGTAACTGAGCTGGCTTCATGCAAAGCAAATGTCTAGTTCTGCACCATGACTTCAATCTATATGGCAACTTTCTATATTGTGAGCAGAGTCAGAATGTGTGAGGAAGGCCACAACCAGAGTGAGATGTGAGAATAAACGGATGTCAGAGGGTGAGGGGGATGGGTACTGAAAATAGTTTTCCTCCATTTCCACCAAAATGGAGCAGGGGTTGTGTTAGGCAGTGCCACATTATTATTCTGATAATCTGTGAATCTGTGGAGGGAAGACAGTGATTTGGGCTCAAATAACTTTTCAGCGACAGAGGTTGTACGTGGATGACCAGTGTTCCAAAATGAGTGACTGAGCATCAACTGGAAATACACTTATGATCAAAGGGAACATTCCAGTCATCGGGGGTATATTTAAGGGGCAGAAAGGAGAGAGACTCACACATTCAACAAGGTTTTGTGTGTGTGTTTGTGTCTGTGTGTGTTTAATTGAATCACTGTGAGATAAAGATACAAGCACCTATGCACTGCATCAAGGTCATTCCTGGCAGTGATTGTGGGACTCTGCTGATGCTGGGGATCGTGCAATCACACTGGCCCCGGTCTCCTGAGACAAGCACTTCTACCCAAATAGCTGCATTTGGGTCCCAGGCCTTCTGTACTTGGGACCAACGTGTTCTCTCTCGCATCTCTCTCTCTCTCTCTCTCTCTCTCTCTCTCTCTCTCTCTCTCTCTCTCTCTCTCTCCCTCTCTCTCTCTCTTTCCCCTTCCACAGAGCGTCCAGATAAAACCTGTTTTTATTTTAAAAGAACAAAGATTGTTAGGGATCTCCGACGCAGACAAGGACCACGCAGGAATGCCATCAGAAAGCAGGCAGTTTATTGAGCTGGCTCGGCAGAGTCAAGCCGTCCCACCGACACGCAGGCCCAGTAGGTGAGGGAAGACCCCGAGCTTCTTCAGAACGGAGCATTTATAGGCCTATACTGGCCGTTACAGAGGATTTGAAGGTCTCAATTTACGTAAGTGCCTGCTCCGGGCTTCACGTGATATCCGGGTCTGAGGGATGAGCCTGGACCCATGACAACTGTTTCATTAGTCAACCACAAGGTCTTTTATGAAATTAAATTATACCTTTATATGGTCATAGCTCAGGGGCCCATACATTCCTCCTGGAACAAGCAGATAATAGAGGCGTGAGTGGAAACTACTATCTTCATTGTCCTTGGCCCAGTCCGAGGCTGTCCTGTCCTAACAAGATATGTGAGGCCAGAGAGATAATCCAGTGGGGAGGCGCTTGCCTTGCTAGTATGGCTCCATTCAACGAGGGAAGGTCATTCATGCTGTTGGGCCGCAGGTGGGCCGGGAGGAGAGAGGCTGACTTGCGAGAGAAGGCGGGGGACCAAAAGACATGGTGGGAGTTTGGGGGCCATGTGTTCTGGAAGGACCCACTGGCCTCCCGGGTACAAGTTTCAGCCTGATTGGGGCCTGAGCAATGACTGGGGTCAGTGACTGGGAAAACAAGGACAAGCGTGCCAGCCACAGGAACAGAATGTTGAAGCTCGGAGTCAGAGGCTCCTCTGGATTTTTAAAATTTGTGTGTGTGGTGTGTGGTGTGTGTGTGTGTGTGTGTGTGTGTGTGTGTGAAGCAAGATTGTTTTCTTTTTTCTTTTCCTTTTTGGGTTACACCAAGCGATACTCAGGGCTGACAGCTAGCTCTGCGTCCTGGAATTACTCTTGGATGTGTTCAGAGGAACACTATGGGATGCCAGGAATTGAACCTGGGCCTGCTGTGTGAGTCTGTGTGTCCTACATACTATATCATCACTCGGGCCCAACAAGCTAGTTTTATAGAAACATACTTAGAAAGGATTAGAGAGAAGCACACGCTGGGGAGCGAGAAAAAGGCTCAGTCGGGCCACAGTGATGTCCAACGGGGACACACTGGCCTTGCACACGACGACCGGGGTTTGATCACGGGAACCCCATAGTACTCCCTGTGACCCACGTGGAGTGATCCCTGTGCACCACCGTGTGTGCAAAAACAAAACTAAAACAAAGCCAAGTGCAACCAGGAGGAAGAGCCGGGGCTCGCCAGCTTGTCCCTGGTGGCCCTCTAGCCCCCGAATCCTGCCCGGGCACCCACAGTTCTCCTACGTGGATGACGATGGCGCCCGGGAGAGCGGCATGCAGCTGACCTTCCTGTGCCTGCTGAGCACCCGCACCTGGCAGTCCTTCACAGACCTGTGCCAGAACAATGCCGCCAGGCTGGACTTGGCGGCGGGGAGCCAGGGCCTCATGCTGCACTCCCGGGAGGCCACGGGCCAGAAGTTGGGCCTCAACTAGATGGCCAGATGGCGGTGGCCGCACTACGGCCCCCCTAGGACGGCTAGGTCAGGGGAGTAGGCGGTGGGAGCGCGCAGGGGGTCCCTGTGCCCCGGGAGGGGCAAGGCCAAAACCCTGCTGGAATTCAGCGCCCCCAGGGATGGGTCCTCCCGCTGCTGGATGTGGCGGCTTCTGGTTTCAGACAGCCTGACCAGAAGTTTGGCTTCCAATGGGGGCCCGTTTGCTTCAGTAGCTGAGAGTCTGGGGGTCGCGGAGGAGAGGGACAGATGGGACGCCCTAACAGGGGCACTAATGGTGATGAGGCCTCCAGCCACCCTATTTCTCTTCTCTTGCAACTGCCTCACTGTCAGATAAGAGGAATCTCCTTCCTTCTTCAGCACCCAGGGAGATCACCAAGCCTCTCCCCTCCACTCCTGGGGGCACAGTGGAAGTTTAGCTGGAAGTTTAGCACCCCTGCACCGCATACAAAGGGCTTCCAGCTCAGAGTTGATACAGCCCTCCTAAACCTGCCTCTAAACCTGCCTCACATCCTGTTCCCCCAAATATCTGGTGCTTCCGTACCTCCTTGTTGACCACTGGATTCCCTACCATTCGAGGTAGACTGCTCGTTGGATTCTTCAGAAATTTCTGGGAACAGAGCAGGTGGGGGGTCCCCGAGTGTGGGAACCAAAGTTGGACTCCAGAAGGATGTGGGGCCCCCTGGCGGAGCTGTGTGCCCCCCATCTCAGCCCAACTCCAGACGCTGCCCCACCCCTGCCTCTGAATCCCTTCCCCTGAATCATATAACCAGATCAGGTGTGGACCAGGTGGGGTGGAGTGGAGGTTGGGGCATGACCCCGACCCCAATGGTGCTGCCTTCATTCTCAAGGGATCTGTGTGCCAAGAGGAGGCCTCCTATGGTAGATTCGACTCCCTTACACCTGCCAAGGCCTGGAGGGGTTGAGAGTCCACCAATGCCCGGCTCTGTAGTACCCTTCTGGAACTCAGGTCGGAGAATAAACTGGTGAACTGTGTCCATATTCCGTGCTGCCTGGGGCTTGCCCTACTTACCCTCTATGTGGAGAGACACCCAGTGGGCCGTGCTCCAAAACCAGCTGCCCGAGAGTGAACAGGGTGACACAGGACAGGCTTGCCTTTCTGCAGTACGATGTCTTCAACCAACTTGGTTCTAAAGATCTCCAGACCCCAGGTCCCCACATCTCAGCACTCCACATTGCTGAGAGTACCATCTTTCCTCCTGAGTTTTGGGGCTCCTGTACACATGAGAAGTCCCATGTCTTCTGTTCTTCATGGAGGAGATTGGCAGAGGCCAGATTCAACTCTGGCATCACCAGATGTCTGGAGTGAAGGTAACAGTCATCAGAGGAACTAGGGTGTGTTAAGAAGAATTTTAATTAACACAGGAATAATGTGCCTAAGACTGGGAGATCACCTTCCCTGGAAATTCTAAATACATAATTTCTGTCAAGAATTTTTTTTGCTTTTTGAGTAACACCCAGCAATGCTCATGGATTATTCCAGACTCTGCACTTAGAAATTACTCCTGGTGGTACTTGAGGACCATGTGGGATGCCGGGGATTGGACCTGGGTGACTGTATGCAAGGCAAACATCCTACCAGCTATACTATACCTCTGGCTCTGAGGGTTTTGGGGGGCTGCTTTTGTGTGTGCCCACAGGGTTCTGGGGACCATTGAGTACCTGGGAATCGAATCTGGTCGGTTACAAGCAGGGTGAGATTATTTTTTCGTTGTTCTGTTCACTTTGAACAAGAAAAGTTATGAGCCCTCTTTGCTCTGTCTGTGGCCCAACTCTTTGAAAGGTTTCCAGTTATAATCAACCCCACGTGCAATCACCCCACATTCTGTGGATGGACCATCCCTCTTCAACAAAGAATAAGGGTCAGTGATACAGCAAGATACAGCTCAGAACCCACCAAGTAGGGGTGGGGGGATCTGCTATCAAGGGACTGAGGCTGTTTTGGTTTTATTTGGTTTGTCTATGGTTTGGGGGTCCAACACCAGCAATACTCAGGGGTTCTCCTGGCTCTGCACTCAGCCATCACTCCAGCATGATGGCGGGGCTGTATGGAGAGCCATAGAAAGAACCAGGAGCCTGTGATTGCAAGTCAAGTGCACTAACCGCTCTGCTTCCTCTGCAGCGACCCAAGCGGTTTACCTGATTAATGACCCTATACCTGATATTGAAGCAAAGAAAAGGTCTGGAAATCTGAAGTGTGGGAAAGTCTGGCCCTGGCAGTTGCACAAAATGCCACGGGATGGCGATGTGTGTGTTTCCATCCCTCCCCAGGCCCGTTTCTCTTACGAATTTTCCACCCTTGGGTTTGCTTCAGAGATAAGCATGGGATAATTAAGGATCAAGCAAGCCACTTCCACAGGTGCTGCAGTAGGAGAACGTGCGAGTGCTTTCTTTCACTTGGGTAAACTGGGTTCGGTTCCAACCTTCATAATTTGTGGGGTACATAACTGAATCTTCTCGTGGGTCAAGTGGGTTGCTCTCGCTTTGTCTCTGTCTCTGGACCACGAGGAGTGCAGAGGATTGAAACTGACGTGGAAAGAGCAAGACAAAGTCATTTCTTTTAAGTTATTTCTTTTTAGTTATTGATTTTTGCTCTTCACTCTGAGCTAGAAATCTTCTGAAGCCACTTTTCTATGTCTGTGACCAAGCCATTGAGAAATATTTCCTGCTATGGGCGATCCACACCCCATCGTCCCACAGTGTGAGGGAGCCCAAACCTCTAGTACAAGGAAGAGGCGGCATGGATACAGCAAGATACAGCTCAGAAACCACACATTGGGGTGAGGGAATCCTCCAATAAGGGACTGAGGCTGTTTTGGTTTTATTTGGTTTGTTCATGGTTTGGGGGCCACAAATCCAACAACGCGCAGAGGTTCTCCTGGCTCTGCACTCAGGAAGCACTCGGGCATGATAGTGGGGCTGTATGGAGATTCAGAAAAAGAACCGGGGGCCTGTGACTGCAAGTCAAGAGCACGAACTTCTCTGCTCCCCCTGCAGCGACCCAAGCGCCTTGCTTGATCTTTAATGACCCTATACCTAACAGAGAAGCAAAGAAATGGGTTGGAAACCTTAAGCGTGGAAAAAGTCGGGCAGCGGTAGTTCCGCTGAAATGCTACAAGATGGCACTGTGGACGTTTCTGTCCCTCTTCAGGCTCATTTCTCTAAGAATTTTCCATCCTTGGTTTTGCTTCAGTGTTCAGTATGGGGTAATTAAGGATTAAGCAAACCGCTTCCACAGGTTGCAGTTGTATGAGAGCCTGCGGTCGCTTGTCTTTCACTTGAGTAATCTGGGTTCGATTCCTGCCTTCAGATCTTTGTGGGGTGGATAGCTGAATCGCCTCGAGGGTCGAGTGGGTTGCCCTGACTTTGTCTCTAAACCCCGAAAGGTGCAGAGGATTGAACTGAGCCTTTAATGAGTAAGGTAAGGTTATTTTCTCACATTTATTGTTCTCTTCTCTCTGTACAAGAAAAGTTCTGAATGCACCTTGTGATGCCTGTGACCGAGCCCTGTGAATGTTTTCTGTTATGGGCAACCCAAACCCCATCACTCCACATTATGAGGGTACTCTAACAGTATTCTACACCGATGTGGGGATTGGAAGAATATACAGTTCTGACACCCTCAAGTCATGGTGAGAGAATCGCTATCAAGGAACAAAAGCTCTGTGTTTTACTTTTCTTTCTTGTTTGTTCCTTTATGGCTGTGGCCACACCTGGGCATGCTCACGGCCTTCTACTGGCTCTGCACTCAGTAATCACAATGGACTTAACTGAAGAACCGTAGGGGAAGCCTATGAATATACCCCGGTCCGACGGATGCATGGCAAAAGCCCTATCCGCTCTGCTCCTGTTGCAGCGGCCCAAGATGCGTGCTGGATCTTTAATGACCTCATACTTAACATTTCAGCAAAGAGAAGGGCTGAAAGTCTTAAAAGTGGGAAAATTTGGACCCAAGAATTTATGCTGAAACACCACGAGATGGAGCTGTGGGCATTTCTGTCCTCAAGGCTCGTTCCTTTAAGAATTTTCCACCCTTTCTTAGGTTTGCTTCCTTGTAAAGTAATGCGTAATTAAAGATCAAGCCAGGAGCTTCAAAGGGAAAGTGGTAGGAGAGTCTTGAAGGTGTGCGTCTTTCACATGGGTGACCAGTATTCGATTCTCGCCTTCAGATCTTGTGGGGTACATAGCTGAATCACCTTGAGGATCGAATGGGCTGTCCATCTTTGCCCCTGGACCACGACGGATGCAGAGGATTGAACCTGAGGTGGACAGAGCAAGGCAAAGCTGAAAGGCTGGAGCCATAGTACAGGGCATAGGGCGTTTGCCTTGCATGTGGCCAACATGGCCGACCCGAGTTCGATTCCACCACCACTCTCGGCAAGCTACCAAGAGTATCTTGCCCGCATGCCAAAGCCTGAGAACCTACCTGTGTCATATTTGATATGTCAAACACAGTAACAAGTCTCACAATGTTACTGGGCCCGCTCCGAAAAATCCATGAGCAATGGGAGCACAGTGACAGTGACACTCTGAGCTAAAACACATCAGAAGCCACTTTGTTATGTCTGTGACCAAACCATTTAGAAATATTTCCTGGTATGGGCAACCCACACCACATCACCCCACGTTCTGTGGATACCCAACCCTATACTACAAGGAAGAGGCAGCATGGATACAGCAAGATACAGCTCAGAAACGTCCACGTTGGGATGAGGGAATCCTCCAATAAGGGACTGAGGCTGTTTTGTTTGTATTTGGTTTGTTCATGGTTTGGGGGCCACAAATCAAGCAACACACAGAGATTCTCCTGGCTCTGCACTCAGGAAGCACTCTGGCATGATGGTGGGGTTGTATGGAGAGCCAAAGAGTATGAGAGCTTTCTTTCACTTGGGTAACCTGGGTTCCATTCCAGCCTTCATATCTTGTGGGGTACATAACTGGACTCACTATAAACAGAGCTCCTCCCCCACAGTCCAGGAGCTTCTCCCCCAGGGACAGCTTGTGTCCATGGACTGAGCAGAACAGTCTCCGAGTAGCTTTTTCCAGGGGAACACTTCTTTAAAGCATGGGTGCTTACTTCCTTCTGGTCTCCTACAGAAGACATCCCACCTGTCTTGGCATCCTCATGGCGCTGAGGGCATAATTGCTCACTCGAGATTTTGTCACAGTGCGCATTATCACAAAAATTCCTCCTAGGTTGAC